TTAACTAGCATATCATCTATATATACTTCCATGGTTTTACCTAAATGTTCTTGAAACATTTGGGTGACCAACCTTTGATACGTTGCACCTGCATTCTTAAGACCGAAAGGCATTACCTTGTAACAGTAAGTCCCCCTGTCTGTTATAAAAGAAGTTTTTTCTTCATCACCTGGATCCATCTTGATTTGATTATAGCCTGAATATGCATCTAAAAAACTTAATAGCTCATGTCCTGCAGTAGCATCAATTAACTGGTCTATGTGCGGTAAAGGAAAGGAATCTTTTGGACAGGCTTTATTAAGGTCTGTGTAATCTACACAGACTCGCCACTTACCGTTCTTCTTAGGAACCACAACAGTATTAGCTAACCAGTTAGGATATTTTACCTCACGAATTGAACCAATTTTTAGTAACTTTTGAACTTCCTCTTGAATCACCTTATTTTTGAAAGTTCCTTGCTTTCTTTTCTTTTGCTTGACGGGAGGATATGATGGATCTTCATTCAACTTATGAGTCATGACTTCCGGTGGTATCCCTGTCATGTCAGAATGGGACCAAGCAAAACAGTCTGCATTAGCTTTTAAAAATTCAATCAATTTACGTTTTACCTCCGGGCTAAGATTAACTCCTATGTATACTTTTCTCTCGGGCTAGTGTATAAACAACACCACGGCCTCTAGCTCTTCTATCGTTGTTTTGATATTTTCGTTCTCCTCCGGTTCTTGAATGGTGTCAGGTCTCGAATCCACATCTGTTTGCTTTTGCTAAGGTGAGGTTGACTCCGTGTTACCCTTACCTAAATTCTGTAATTGCTATTTGTCTCCACCATTAACAATTGAATCTGCAACGGAATTGATGCTTCTAGATGTTTGTTGATCGCCTCTGATTTGGCATATTCCCCATGGAGATGGGAATTTAATAACTTGATGTAGAGTTGATGGGACAACATCCATATCATGGATCCAAGGTCTCCCCATGATCATATTATAAGTCATTTCCATATCTACTATCTGAAATTTAGTTTCTTTAACAACACCTGCAGCAAAAGTTGTTAGAACTACCTCTCCTTTTGTTACTACACTTGAATTGTCGAACCCGGACAAGGTATGCACCTTCGGTATCATTTTGTCTTAAGCTTGCATTTCACGTAATACCCTTAGTAGTATAATATTTACGGAACTTCCTGGATCAATCAAAACTCGTTTTACATTAGTGTCATGTACAAGTAAAGATATTACCAGTGCATCGTTGTGGGGGGTGATCACTCCTTCT